TTCACGGCAATCAGCTCTGGAGGTCGATGGGAGAAGGAGGGGGAGGATGAGGAGGTGGAGGAGGAGGAGGAGGAGGAGGAGGAGGGGGAGGCGGAGGCGGAGGAGGAGGAGGAGGAGGTGGAGGAGGAGGTGGAGGAGGAGGAGGAGGATCAGGATCAGGATCAGGACAATCACAAGGTGATATCAACTACACAATGCCACTCTCTGAACTCCTCAAGGAAGACGAGGAACAGGTTGAAAGCGAAGACGGACCTGAAGACCCAGTAGCTGCAGGGAGGGACACCGATACCTTCACCATATTTCAGATACGACCCAAAAACTGACAGCGGCTAAACGGGTAGGATTAAGCTCGATACGGCCCTATACGTGGTCAACGGGCAAATTTGGCACAACTCGCAGAAGAACCACAACAGCGAGGTTTTATAGTACTGAGCTCGCTACCTCCAGAATTGTCTCGCCCACTGCCACACTTTCGAGCCATATAGATCATGTTCCTCAGCACGATTGCGCGCCACCCGTAACACAATTAAGTGATCACTGATGGGGTTCCCAACGACAGCAAACTGAATAACAGCCCGCACACTGTACAAAAGTGAAGATAACTGAAATCGACGCCCACTCAACATGCCCAGTACGCTGCCACCTCCCGAGCAAGAGGGTGTGAACAATTCCAGAAATCGCACAGGAAATTGAAGTCGCGACACTATGCGAGACTGAACAAAAATGTCACCATTTCGATCAAGCGCATCGGAGCAGCGCCAGAGCCCGCTGCCACGGAGGTGGAGGAGGAGGAGGAGGAGGAGGAGGAGGAGGAGAGGGAGAATATCGAGAAGGAAGGAGGAGGAGGAGGAGGAGGTGGAGGAGGCGGGGAACAGGGATAATGCGGCGAAGGGTGTGATGTAAATGGGGGCATGCTTGCGGCCGCAGGGTTTGCCACTTCCTCTGGGACAGGGCCAGAAGCTGACGGAGCATGTCCAAAATAATGCGAGGCAGTAGCTTTGGATGTGGCGATCGTCTCGAGTACGTCTTGTCGGTGGACGTCTAACTACTCAGTTTTGTTTGTTGTGTGCTTAGGGTGCAGAGGGTATTGTGCGATAGTCGGATGCTGATGGGAGCTTTTCGAGGAAGGTTCATGGGGAGGAGGAGGAGGAGGAGGAGGAGGAGGAGGAGGTGGAGAAGGAGGGCGGAGAGGAGGAGCAAGCGAACAATGGAGGAATAGAGGACACGAGGACGAATGAGAGGGAACAAGGAGGGGAGGAAGGGATTGGTAGGAGCGAGAGGGGAAGGAGGAGGAGGAGGAGTGTGAGGGCAATGTGTTTTTCGCCCGCGGATTACCATAGGCACGCGCTGGGCTGGGGAACATGTGTGTTAGAGTCGCGATGTTTCCGCCAAGGACGAGGGACAGGGGAAGGGAGAGGGCTTATGAGGAGGAGGAGGAGGAGGAGGAGGAGGAGGAGGAGAAGGAGGAGGAGGAGGAGGAGGAGGAGGAGGAGGAAGGGAGAGGGTTTATGAGGAGGAGGAGGAGGAGGAGGAGAAGGCGTAGTACGGGGAATGCGAAGAGGAGGAGCGCATTGTTCTTCGTCTGATCTGCCGGCTAGGTCACAGACGTTGAGACGCAGTCCAGCGTGGTGGATCCCTTGGAGGACGATCGGATATGCTATCTTCCTCCGCAGTTTGCACGGCAGGAAAAGTTTGTCCGCAGTGTGTATGATTCTTAGGCTTACGCCACACCGCCGACCCCTTGTTTATGCCAATCTGGGGGTAGTAGAAGCTGCGAAGGGGTGAAAAGCGAGTTTTGGAGCCACTTGGGGGCCGTTTCGGAGCCTCTGGGGTGCTTCTTGGGGGTTCCTTGGGGCGTCTGGGCGGCCTCGTGAGGGCCTCTGGGGGCCTCTTGGGGCACTCTTGGGGCCCCCTGGGGCTCCTGGGGGCAGAAAGCTAGAGTTTCAACATGTTTGGTCGCCCTCTTGGGCCCCTCTTGGTGCCGTCTTGGAGCCCTCTTGGGCCGTCTTGGGGACCTCTTGGGCCGTGTTGGGGCCGTCTTGGGCCGTCTGGAGGCCGTCTTGGGGGCCTCTTGGGCCATCTTGGGGCTTTTTGGGGGCCTCTTTGGCCGTCTTGGAGCGTCGGGAAGCCGAAAAGGCGGAAAAGCAAAAAACATCGAAAAACACTATGGAAAATCAACAATTTTAGACTCTTGGGGTCCTCTTGGGAGGCTTGTTTGGGACCTCGGGGGCCGTCTTGGAGACCTCTTGGCCCGTCTTGGGGCCATCTTGGGCGTCTTGGAGCGGTCGTTTGGCGTCTCGGGGCCTTCGTGGGCCGTCTTGGAGGCCTCTTGGGGGCTTCTTGGCCCGTCTTGAGGCCCTCTTGGGCCCGGAAAAGCCCCGTGAACCGCTCGTCCCGGCCCTGTCCCCCCGTCCGCTCGTCCCGGACCCCCCCCCCCCCCTCCAAATCGACCGGACCGGGCTCCCGGGGGAGGGGTTTGGGGAGGGGGAAGCATCTCACACGCCGATGATCCCCAAGGGGTCGGCGGATTTTCTCCAGATATCGATGCGTCTCTCGGAGCCTCGCGACCATCTTCGGCGACTTGCAGCTCATGTCGGTCCCTCTTGGAACAGTCCAGGGTCGTATTTGGGAGGGCGTGGGGAACCCCCTCGGGTGACAGAGAGCCCCGGAGTCCCACAACCAAGACTGCTACATTGGCCTCCCGTAGCCATTTTGGCTCAAGGCTGCGAGAATCTCATATCGTACCCGTCCCTTTATTCGTGAAAAATAGAATCTCTACACAGCAATGCGTGTTATCGTTAGCGTGACAATACAGTTGGTGCTATCGTCCTTTCGGTCAGCTGACAGCCTTCGAGTGGCACTTTCGAAAAAAAGCCGCTCGTCATGGACACAGCTCCGCCCGCATTTGATGAGCAGTGTCTTCACAGCATACGAGCAGTGCCAGATCTCAAAACTTCATGCGCGCACATATTCAATCATTGCATGCGAGACCATGACCGAGAGTAAGCGAGATCAGCTATTGCATGACAACGGATGTTTCGTTTCCGGGATGATTCCGCAGTGCAGTGGATCCGGTAATGTCGAACAGCAGATCCTCCGTTGGGATGGTGCACAACGTGGGCCGAATTCTAAGCCATCTACATTTTTGGACGTGTTGCAGTGCCTCCCAAGGGCACAAACACAATCTTTTTCCTAGGCGAACCAACTATGGGTCAGGTGTTCCAAGAATCGATATGTAGTCTGTTGCGTCATCTTCTGGAGCATTTACTTGATAATCTGACACAGTACGAGGGTGCGACTGGACCGTCCACGGAAGTGAATCAGATCGGAGCAGCACGGGGTCAACAACGAGTAGGAGAACAGGTGTCAGGAAAACAGGTGGCAACATTCTGGGCAACCCGAGTTCCAATTCTTGGTAGAGACCTGCTCGTCGTATTCCAGCGGCATGACGAGATGTGCTCGTCGTGTTCCGTGTTTGATATTGGTTATGCACCTGCCATCAGGTCAATGATTGAGACGATTTGGAGACTACGAGGAGGCATTTGTATTGTGGCCACTCAGGGGGTTCATGTTTTCAAGAGGTTTGACGAGACTCTGCCTCCTATTCTTGAACTGTTGCAGTTCTCTGGCCAGAGGGCCAAGTCGAGGAGCCTGTTCTTGGAACCCCAGGCGACGCATTTTCCCAAAATGGGTGGGCTGTATGACGACATGGTTCCACAAGCTCGCAACTTCCCGACTGGGCCCAACGGCTGCCGCCCCCATGTCTCGACCGACGCTGAGTTTGCCAACTATTACGGGAGCATCATGCACAGAGTATTTTGCGACGCACCAGTTTCCAAACGTCACATTGCTGCCATTTTGGAAAGAGACGAGTACGAGGGGTGCTGCCCACCTGGGGCTAGGAGAAGCTAACCTGGACTGTGGCTGGCCTGACTCTGCTGCGATGCTGCGCGCGTGGTCGCGATGCCAAAAAGTGTGTGTGAGTGTGTGTGGACGTGCGAGCGTGTATGTCTGTTGAGCGTGCATGCGTGCGTGCGTGCGTGCGTGCGCTTGCGTGCGTGTGTGTGTGTGTGTGTATGTGTGTGTGTGAGCGTGTGTGCGTGTGTCTGTGTGTGTGTGTGTGTGTGTGTGTCCGTGTGTGTCCGTGCGTGCGTGCGTGCGTGCGTGCGTGCGTGCGTGCGTGCGTGCGTGCGTGCGTGTGTGTGTGTGTGTGTGTGTGTGTGGGTGCGTGTGTGAGTGTGTGTGTGTGAGCGTGCGTGCGTGCGTGCGTGCGTGCGTGCGTGCGTTGCCGTCCCACCTCGCCCTCCCTGCGTCGGATGTGTCCGGCACGGCTGCTCCGCACGGATCTCCGACACGCCGAGGGGCACGCCGCGCTCGTCCACTTCGGTGACCTGCTCCGCCCTCGTCGCCGCGCACGAGGACGCGACCGCCAGAAAGCGTGCGAGCGTGCGTGTGCGTGAAGGGGGAGCTGACGCGTCCCTGGAGCCGACGGCTGGCCGGTGCGCTCCGTCGCCGCGGAGGAGGCCACGCGCGTGCGCGCGAGGGTGGCACAAGTGACCACCCACCAGGCCACCCTAACCCAGCCCGAGGGCCCCGATTTGCCCTCCGTTCCTAGTGGGCGGGGAGGGCGTACAGGAACAAACCACACATGGAACCCGTACCTCCCCCCCCCACACACACACACACACACACACACACACACGCACACACACACACACATTCACACACACACACACACGGGAACAAACCACACATGGGTTTGCTGGTTGGGTTGGGGTGGTATGGCAGGTACTCAAAAAGTGCGCATGCTGATATCTTCGTCGTTCGTTTCGCACGGCCGTGCACACACGAACGCAAACATGAAACATCATGGCATGACGCGCAAAGGCACTAGCCCATCCGAGAGGTTCTGCGAACTGCGCGCTGCAAGCGCGCTGGCGGAAGTAGATTTCCGAAACTGCGTCCGTGTTGAGTCATTCTTCTCGTTGCCCCGAGCCGAGGACGGTCTGGGCGATGCCTTCGCAGCCGCGACCGAGGCGGAGGCGGAGGTGATGGCCCTGAGGCTTGGGCTGGTTTCCTCTTGTTCGTTCTATTTCGCATCGCGCTAACCTTTGAGTCGCATCAGTCAGTTCAGGGATCCGGGCTGGCGCCTGACTGACTCTTTCCCCTCACCTTCCTCCTCGTCCTTCTTCCTCGTCAAGAGGTGCAGGAGAGGAATATGGGGGGGAAGGGGGACCAACATGAGGAGGGTGAGTCCCCTGCTCGAGAGAGCGAGGGCTCGTCTCGCATGTCTCGCGAGCTCGGTAGCTGCTGGCGGCGTTATCGGCATAGCAGGGGTCAGCCTACGAGTCCCCTGGCTTGGTTAAGCCCTATGGGGCCCGCTACAGCTCGGTGCCGAGCCCATTTTCAAACAAAAACATTCTGGAACGGTGGAGGCTTATGGCACTGTTGCCCATCACCTCCGCTCGGGGTAGTAGGCACAAATACGGTCCCTGCTCGAACAATTGCTTTAGGGTTCCAAGCTTCTCGCGATGATGATGGTGATGATGCTGGTGATGGTGATGATGATACTGATGATGATGCAGCTGCTGCTGCTGCTGATGATGATGCTGATGATGACAGTGGTGATGATGATGATGGTGATGATGGTGATGATGGTGATGATGATGATGATGATGATGATGAGGAGGAGGAGGAGGAGGAGGAGGGGGAGGACAAGACACGGCACGACACGGCATGGCGCGAACACAGCACGAACGCATCAGAAGAAAGAGCGGTGTCTCCAATTTGTGGTAGTTTAAAGAAGTTGCAGCGTGGATTGTGTTTGGTCTTCCAGTCTTGTCGTACAGTCGGACCGATGTAGTAGATCGAGGTCGGTCCAGGAACGGCACTCTAATGTTCTTCGTGCGTGTTGGATGTTCTTGTGCATCCTGGGGGAGGGTACCCCGGAATGTTCTCCAGTTTTGGCCGGCGGAGGGCCTCATGTTCTTGAACGATGTTCTTTTGTCTTAGGCCCGGCCGTAGGCTTACGCCTTAGCTGCTTCAGTAGGCCTTGGCATCGCTTGGACGTGTGCATTTTTTCCCCAGCGAGGACCATTGATGAGCATCATTCGGACGGAGCTAGGACGAGGGCAAATCCGCTCCAGAGCGTGACGGAGCTAGGACGAGGACAAATCCACACCAGAGCGTTCCAGAACGCTCTCAGAGCGTTCCGGACCGCTCTGAGAAGGCCGCGGCGCCCGAGGCATCCTCCAGAGCAGCCAGATCTCAGAGATTTCCGATGTATCCTCACCCGCATTGAGCCTCGTCCTGGCTTCGTCTTACAGTGGAGGCCCATGCCAAGAAACACCCTGCTTGCCTCCACACCAAAAATCAAGGGACGTCCTGGGGTCTCAGGGTTGGGTTTCTTGTGGAAGGTTTCTTCTGGTCGAGTCCCTACTGCAGCAGTGCCCCTGGGCCAAGGTGCCCCCCAGGATTCTCGGGGCAGCCCAGGCGGCCTCCAGAGCACCTCCCGCGAGGCCCAGACGGCCCAAAAGTCAAGCCAAGAAGCCACACGCCCAGAGGGCCCCAGGGGCTCCCAAAGGGAGCGAACAGCCGGGGGCACCTCGGGCCAGGGGCACTTCTGACCACAACACGGGGGGAGGGGGGCCTCGAGGAGGCCCAGATCGAGGAGGAGGAGGATGAGGAGGAGGAGGAGGAGGAGGAGGGGGAGGAGGAGGAGGAGGAGGAGGAGGAGGAGGAGGAGGAGGAGGAGGAGGGGAGAGGAGGGGGAGGAGGAGGAGGAGGGGAGGAGGAGGGAGGAGGAGGAGGAGGAGGAGGAGGAGGAGGAGGAGGAGGAGGAGGAGGAGGAGGAGGGGGGCGGGGGGAGGGTGCTGCCAGAAAAGTACGCCATGGGCCAGGGTGTGCCCCCCCCCCCCCCCGGCTTCTCGGGGCACGGCCCCCCAAAAAGCCGGCGGCGAGCTGCCCCGGGGAGAGAACTCTTTGGGCCCCGGGGTGATGTCCGAGGTGGCCCTGGCCCAGCGGCCCCCCCCTCCTCCTCCTCCTCCTCCTCCTCCTTCTCCTCCTCCTCCTCCCTCCTCCTCCTCACCTGGACCTTTTCCTAGCCTGGTCTCAGGCTAGGACCCAAGCGGTGACCTCATGCGGTGGCTGACTTCGGCAGCAACCCATGGGCCCCGACAAAAAGAGCTAGTTCGAGCCACATCTGGGCTCATAGCTCACGCGAGCAGCTTTCGAGCGAGGACCCTCCGTACCATCCTCACAGCTCGTCTCGCGGCCCCTCGCCCCACTCTCGTTGGAGGGAGCCGAGGGAAAAGAATTCACTGCCTGCTGCACTGACTCGTCACGATTGGCGGTGTGACGAGCAAACTTGTTGGGCCGTGACTCGGCACCAAAATCGGAGGCGGGGCGGATCCTCGACCCCTGGTCTGCAGGGGTCGAGTGGGACAAAACACTAAATCGGTACGACCCTTCGTGGGAAGGCGCTCTGAGACCGTGGATTTCGATACCATCCGAATCAAAAGTTGGGGACGGGCGTTGAAACAAACCTTGGTCGCTCTCAGTGAGAGCGTGAGGACCCTCCGCACCATCCTCACAGCTCAGCACGTGACCCCTAGCCCCTCTCTCGTTGGAGGGAGCCGAGGGAAGAGAGAAACCAGCCTGCTGCACTGACTCGGCACAATTGGCGGTGTGTCGAGCCGTCTTGTAGGGCCGAACTTCACCACAAGAAACAGACGCAGGGCGGATCCTCGACCCCTGGACTGCAGGGGTCGAGTGGAACAACTGGGGAGTGGCAGCAGCAACCACGACCTGCACGACAGACGACTGGTCAACGACCTCCTCTCGCTGCTGCCCATCTCCCGTGAACGGCAAAACGGTGCCATCCTGCAAAAGACTGGTGCGGGTGAAGCTGCTCGGGCCACTTGGGCCACTGACTGAGATTGCTGCAGCAGCCGTATCGACAGACGAAGACTCAACGACATTGTTAATCTGCTGCAGCTCCTGGCTCGCAGGTTGCACGGACGACGACTCAACGACAATTTCTTCCTGCGAGCCAGGGTGTGCATTCACAACTTCTGGTGAGATTTCGACAGTCACACCAGGAAGTCGTGGGTGCCGACCCTTACATATTCTGTATTTCCATCTCTCAGCATGGTTCCTGGTAGGGCGCCCGCACTTCTTACCCAGGAGAGCTAGAGGACCCAGGGTCGAGACAGCCTTGCAACTGACACAAACGAACAACGGCGAGTCGTCGCTACACTGGAAGGAAAGAAGCCTGTGTCCGAGAGCCGAGACACGCCACAAAGTGTCGGGAATAACGCCAGAACAACCCTCACATGCAGGCTTGCCTGAGCTACCGAAAATTAACGGAGTGGGATGCTTAGTGCGCAAGCAATGTCCACAACGCCAATAAGAGCGGCACCACTCCCACACATGCTCAAACTCCGTGCCAGGTTTCACTTTGATTTCCTTAGGGGGCCTGGCTAGCACAACCCCGCTGAGGTCGAGCCGAGGCCACAGTGGCAAAATCCGAGCGGCCAGGCGGCAAACAGCCTTCGCAACGCTGATTTTGTGCGCAAGGTCGGTCAGTTGGGCGTCCGTGGGCCTAGGATGCGTGGCGAGGCCAGCCTTGGCAGCCTCATCAGCAGCATCATTGCCAATTTTTTTTTTTAAAAAAAAAAAAAAAATCGGTCCCTGTCGGACAGGTCATCCGAGTCCACAACATGGGCTTTGACTTTGTGGAGGGTTCCCGTCCACCACGAAGAAAAGCTAGAAAACATGAGCCCCGCATAAGGCCTCTTATGGGACAGCTTAATGGCGGGGGGCTCTCCGTGGGCACGAACAACGTTGAGACAGTCGGAGTAGCCAATAGAGGGGCCAACAAGGCACTGGGAGGAAGCTTCGAGGGCCCCGTACTCCCCAGCCTGGCTGGTCTGGGGGAGGGGGGCCCACATAGGCCCAAACGCACTAAACAAGTTAGAACCGTCGTCTGCGTGGGCTGTAAAACCCCAGCTTGCTCTGGATAACTCTTTAATGATGTGTCGCTGACAGCTGCCGTCCATGAATCTATGACCCGAGACCGCCGTATTGACCCTATCAGGATCTCCTTCCCGCCTGGTCTGGGTACCTCCTTCACCACGAGGACGGGGAACCGAGTCACCTGGGTGCGGGAACAGACCCTTAGTATAGAGGAGGAGGGTAGCAGGATCAGAAAGATCACACGACCGAGCATCTTGCTGGATCCGATCTTTCACAAGGTCGTCGCGATCTTCCTGAACGTTGGGGCAGAACCACAGGCGGTGCATGAGGCTGTCAGAAGCAGCCAGGCACAAAGAGCAGAGATCAGAGTCGAGCTGGTAGCCCAGGGCGATCGCACGGTCCCTGGTCCAGGTCGCCCCACAGCTAAGCCCGCGGATACTGCCCTTCTCGAGGGCCGTGAATTTGCTAGAGTGGAGCTGGGCCTCCACCACATCGTAGCACAAGCGCTTGCCAACACCTAACGCCTGGCCTGAGTCTCTCTGCAGCTGGCGGAGGACCCCTTCAACCAACAGCTTTTTGACCAGGGAGGGGGAAAAAGACGTGAGCCCAATAGTTTCCCCGAAATCATTAATGAGCTCAGTGAACGACTTCATACCCCAGTGGATACGCTGCAGAGAGACCTTCATGGCCCCCAAAGGCCCAGCCACAGTACGCCACGAGAGGTCCTTATCGTCAGGATCCCTGATGAAGATGGTCTCCCAGGCTTCGCGCAGAAACCTGAAATCAAGGGGGTACTTGAAAATCCTAACCTGGTTGGCCCAGACCTCCTTGCTGTGACGGATGACAGGAGCGACAGCGTAGGTAGCAGTAGGGTCCCTCTCAAGGATGAGCAGGGACGTGAGGGACCTCATGCCAGCGGAAGGTTTGAGGACCCTACCGAGCCCCTGGCGGAGCCCCTGGAGCTCGAAGTCGGAAACTCCGTGAACCTCCGAACCATACGTCCTTCCCCTCCTCCTGCTCCTTCGCCTTTTCCTCCTCCTCCTCCTCCTCCTCCTCCTTTCCGCCCAGGCCCGCCGCCGACCATTG